GGCAATGTTCTAGGTAGACAACCCTTTTTGGAATGCCTAAACTATAGTCAAGAAGATATGATTAGTCAGCAACCTACAGAAGGTTGCTTTAGCTGATGTTGCTTTGCACAAGCAAGTTGAGCTTGTCTTTTAGGTCTGTTCCATTGGAAATGAAATGTCGTCATCGTCAGCTTCGTAGCTAAGTATCCTACCAAATACCGCTTTTATAGTTGCGTACCATTTACGAAGCCTTGGTAACAATTATCTTCAATGTCCCGTATGTTAAGTCTTACGACGGCTTCAATGGATGAAGATCTGACAGAGCTTTGTAGCCTCCGGCGGTGATGGAGGTAGTGCGTCTGAATTCGGTAAGCTCCTTGACGTTTTCTCTTCAAATAGCACCTTGCCTCAGAGATCCTTGCGGCGCTGGCTGCGGATGCTGCGTTCTTCTAGTGGATTGTCAAAATAACGCGCTTACGTATGAGTAAAGGAATAAGCAGCACTAGTCAAACGGTCCTTTAAGAGCTCGCAATAAAATAACTTATAATTAAGTACCTGAAAAAAATGTTTTATCTTAATGCTCGTTATGACAATGCGGAGAGGATCCAACGACACACATTTCCTCTGACGGTGTACGTAAAAATAACATTTAGAACATAAAGACGGTGGTGAGGTACAATGATTAAGTATCAGATATAGCTCGAGGTACGTCATCTGTAAATTTAAATGAAAGATTTGGGAATATGAATGCCGACCTAGGTAATTAGTTTGCCTTTTTTTCAAGATTGACATAAATTCAGCTTAAAATACTACTTCATATACACATGATTACTATCTACAATAAAAAACTACGCTGTGCATAGCTTGAGGCTAGCTGCCCTGTAGGACTCTTGATTTGAGCTCATCACCCTCAACTACAACTAGTACTGATCATGAAACATAACTTTCGTAATTCTCTGGCTTAGTTCTAAGTCCGAATAACAACAGCGTTACGTGCACGCACGTATTTCTAGTCAATTTTATGGCATTTTTAGTCAATTTTATGGCATTGTAGTGATAATAAAAACACCAAAATCGCCGAAAAAACAAGATGAGTACCTCATAATCCTCTCGACCGAGAAAGGAACCCCCACTGGGGTCACGGTCATTTTTTTCTAATCGAGAGTTTGCGCAAAAGTTAACGCTCTAGGAGTACGAACTATGCCAAAAGATCATCGTGTTCAATTGCACTTACGTGTATCTCTTCTCACGAGCATAATTCAAATTAAGATTCTTTCGGCTTGCATAGTCACATGGCCCAACGAGCCAGTAACAAAAGCGCGGCCCCTGCAGCCAGCCTTTCTCGGGCTATAGTGGGTGAAGAAGCCGAATCGACAAAATACGCGGTAATTATTGAGTCCTCATATGGCATCTGTGCACTCACAAAAAACTATACGGCAGAAATGTCTTCTGTCAACGGGGGCCTTCCAAACTATGGTACGCTCTCTACATGCCTCTTCACCTGTGCATGAATCGCGCCTTCCCTGCGGCAAAAGGTGTCACGACGACCGCAGGGCTCACGTCGACATTAAGCCCATTGAAAACGAGCTGAGCCTGTTTCAGCAGGCCAATCTTGCCTGTAAAAGTCGCAGCAACTTTTGCAGACGAAATCACGCTGTGACAGCAAAACTCATCTATCGGAAGTCATCCGCAATACCACAGTGGAATTCCTTCACCCCTATGTTAATGGGCTTTGGCTCAGACAAAAAACAGCTATCAAAAGTCATTCCATAAGCACGTTCTGACTCATCAAAGTCACCACTTTTAAAATTGGTGCTTGCACCTCGAACAGTAGCGATTGGGTAAATTTGTACCATCTCAGCAAGTCATACCTCTAGTATTAAGCGCTGGCAAATTTCAGCAGCGAAATGAGTCATTATGCTCAGGCCGAGCGCAAGGACCGCGATGTTGCTTCACAGACGCGACTTTTGATAGTCCAAAATGATAGTCCATGTTAATTAGTGTAATGGGCTACACATAGTCATTACATGAAGATATATTTATGTACCTTCTGGATGCAAAGAAGATTACAGTATGGTGTTCCCAAATGCATACGCGATTTCTGTGAAATATGGAATGCTAGTCCCTACTTATCATCTGTACTGTGAGGGGAGTCTTAAGAAGTGATTGGTGTTAGCCAGTCCCTTCTACTGGATAGTGAACACGAAAGTTTTTGAAGTTGAACCGTTTCGAAGTTTAAGATCCATACACTCACGATCTATTCTAAGTTAGAGATGAGGTTCAAACTCAGTACACACTTGTTTGACAAATCATGAACCCAAGGTTTTATTAGTAAAATCTCTTGAAGCCCTTGGGGTGTTTTGCATGTGGCTCGGAACTATGACTCATTTTTTATTCAGTTGCAAATTTATCTGTAAGGTCTTATGTCGTTCTTCTTCCCTTGAAGCCGGGGCTATCCTTCTCCCTACACGGTGATAATCGCTTCCTCGTCGCACAAGCGTGTGTATTGTGTTTGTGGTACTGTATGTTAGCAGCGAACTCCACCAATTAGCTCCTTAACTTGCCAAGAGGCCGAATCGTGTGATGGATTATTATTTTTTGGCAAGCCATTACGCATACGCATATTATTTCTTTGTATATTGGGGCACGGAATATAGCGCTTATTGAGACGTATGTTGATTCTCTTCCAAGGTGGCAGCCTAATATGCATTTTTTTCCTCAGATAGTATTATTTACTTGTTGTAGGTATCATTATGCGTTGACTGTCGAGAAATTCAAGCGTCACGGACAGCTTGAAATAGTGGTCTGTACATGAAGAGTCAATATCTGCATTTAAATACCTCCTGTCCTGTATCACTCAGTTGTGATTTGAAATTTTCCAAGCACATTTGCAAGCGGTTTCGTCATGTCTATTTAATTTACTCTAAACTTAATCAAATGATTGACCAAACCACTTCTTTGAAACCCTTCAGGATACTGCCCTCGATCTTTGCTGATATTGCTGCAGATCATGCTTTTCAAAGGAGCGTCATACAAAAAGGATCAGCCCCACAGACACACGTATCTTTATTTGACAAACAGCTTTCTTATGCGCATTTTCATTTGCAATGTTTACTAGTTCTTCGAGTTGATATCTACTATTCTCGTGCTCTGCACGACCAAACGCAAGTTTGTTGCCGAATGAGGCCTGTGCGTATGTTTAATGCGGCATAAACAGATAGGTCACTAGACATTTGAATGATGCGGATAAGCTAGACATTCCGTGATTCGTCGTTAACTACTCCGGATCATCTCACTTGAGGTACTCACTGAGTCAGAGGAATGGTATTGTCTCTAATGATGAGGTGGTAACGCCATTGACTAAGGTCGAAAACACTGCGAATTAATCCGAGGGTTAGGAACCTGCGCCTAGCGGTGGCTGTATCTAGCGTACTATAACAATAGCTAAAACACCTATCGAGGCGCGCGGTGCCACTTATTGCTTTAAGTCACCATTTGCGCTATTTCCTTGGGACCATCTAATGGCAGCGGATGCAGCGGGGCTGCCGTAGCTTTGCGCTTTGAGGAAGCGTAAGTTAGGTCTTCGACCTTTCATTCTATAGTTAGAAGAAGAACGACTTTAGCGAATCGCAATCCGCTTACTCCAAAAGTAATTATTGCCTTTACCCAAGGCAAATGAACTCTTTCGTTTAAATCAAAATATGACTTTATTTATTTTTATCTGCGGCAAAGCCGCCTAATTTTGAATGTATAGATATTCCTATATATATATAATCTAAATACATGCATAACTACTGGCTACCCAGCCACATACCGTTTTCTTATTTGGGTGCAGTCACACCATGCCCATCTTGTGTGACACACACCCCTATTACCAGGGTACGTGTG